TCCACTTCTGGGTCTGCTGCGGAGCGGGATCCCCCCCCCCCCACTCCTGTGGGACATTGCATCTGCCCCAGCACCGCAGCACTCGTGAGCCACCTGCTACCTAGAAGTATGTTAGAAAAATCAGTTAAAGCTATATCCATGTCCAAATCGCCAAATCTGTCCCAATCTCTCCAAATCAATTGGGAGGGTTCCAAATCGATTCAGAGAGATTAAAGGGTCCTCTGATTCAATTCAGATTCGGATATTCAGCCACCAAATTGGGCCAAATCTCCACTGAATCAAATCAGAGACTGAAGCTTCACACAGCCCTACCAGGTAAACCAGGCCCCTGTAAGTATTTTATATTGTCAAGTTAGAGATGTCCAGGGAGACATCTCCCTTTATGTAAAGGGCAACATTTCTAGCATTTCCTTCATTTTTTGTAGTGCAGATCTGCTTTCCACATGATCTGATTCATTATCAACTCCTTCTGGTGTCAGAGCTGCCTTAGAGAGTCAGGAGCTGAAGGCACATGAATGTTAGCTGGCTGCCCTTTCTGATTCATCTCTTTGATTCAGGAATATGTTATTCACACATCATTAAGACTGTTGCTGAAGCTCATTTCAACATGCTACTTTTGAGTTCCTAGCTAATTAGGTGCAGTGTAATCATAGAACTTCTCTGCTCTGCCTGGATGAGTAACTGCCTTTGTTCCTTGCTTGCTGTGATTAACTTGAGTAAGTCTTTGCTTTATTTCTAGCTTGTCTTATAAAGCTCCAAGCAACATCTTTGCTTTGTGTTGCTTTTAAAAAAAATGAGCATAAAGATGTTGTGATGTGACAAAGGAGTCCTGGAGGATGGAGGAAAAACTTAGAGACTGCATGCTCAAGGCCGTGTCATTTGTTTCTCTCCATTTGTAACTCTGATGTTCTTGTACCCACACTATGTCATCTGTGTAGTCCAACGGCCATTTTATCTTTCTGTTGTGGGACCGAGTCTCTGCATTTCTTGGAAAACGTACATTCCTACATTAACTATCCCTCCAAGACTTTTAGGGAAATACCTAATGCAGAGGGTAAGGCAAACAATGACTCCCACTGGTCTAAACTAGTGGTCTCCAACCTTTTTAAGTAGATCACCTTTGGCATTTAAAAGCAACCCAAAATCTACTGTGTGCTGCCACCCCCACCCAGCAGGTAAGTCTGTGGGGTGGGAAGGGGGTAGATCGAGGCAGAGGAAGAAAAAATGATTTGGGAGCATGCCTCCCCAGCAGGTAAGTCCCACCCAGCCGGGGCCCCACTCAACTTACCTCTGCTCCTGCCTCTGGAGTACTGTCCCTCACCGCAGGGGCCTCAATCTAGCCCCTGCCCCTTCCCTCCCCCACAGACTGACCTGCTGGACTGGGGCGCGCACATGCATGCACGCAGGCACTCAGCCCCCCACCCCAGCCTCGGATCGACTCCAAGAGGCTCCGAGATCTATCGCTGGATTGAGATCTACTGGTTGGTGACCACTGGTCTAAACTATGGAGCTGTTTGGTCCACTTCCCTCAAGTTTTCTTATTATTATGCAGCTGTAACACACAAGCTACACCATCCCTTGCTGGTGGTTAACATGCACAGGAGATAAAAGCCTACCACTGTTTCATGAGACTGGAGTCACTCCTCTAGCTAAAATGGTAAAGGCAGTAGGTTCAGTCTCCACTGGGCTTGCTGTGCAATGTGGGTTCTTGCACCACTGACAGAAAGGAAACCAGGGGAGAAACGTACCCGGCAGCAGCTAGCAGCTAGGTCCACAACCCGCTTGGGGCATTCACTGATCATTTCTTGGAAGGCGGCAACATCTAAGCCATAATCCTGAGGGAGAAGAGTGAAAGCGATTCTGGGTCAGTAACAGGCTTGGCAGTGGGAAGGTGGTCATGACGGGGTGAGCTGTCAGCTGGAGCTTTCCACTCATAGCAGAAAGTGTGAAAGGAATTTGCAAATCCTCAGAATAATTCAGCTCAGGCTGAGTTTCAATTTTCACCACAAAGGAATCCTACTAGAGGCAGCTCCCAGTTACCAAAACCTAAATGCTGCAAACATGGACGCTGGATGTGAGAAGCTGGAGATATGATACAAACCAACTCCTTGACTAATGGTTTGCCCTCCTCAGGGGATCTCAAAGCACTTAAGTATTCATTGATTAAGACTCCCATCCTTTCCAGAATAACCATCATAATGACTCTGCAGAGATGCCCAGAAAAACTGAAGCAGAAGACACTTTAGAAATGCTAAAGGCAGACCAATAAATCAGTAACAGAACTAGAAGATGTAGAGTCCCCATTTCTAGTCCTGCTTCCACCCCTGGACAATGCATTGCCTCAGGGAAGTATAGTCCAGTGTTTGTGGTATCAGCTGAGGACCTGGGGGACTCAGGTTAGGTTCCTTGCTCTGCCCCAAACTTCTTGTCAGACCTGGGCAAATCCCTGAGTTAGATCCAGTGTTTGTGTAACTACTCCTCCTTCCTTTGAGACACCACATCCTGGAGTCTCCGATATAAAATTTCTCTTACTTGGTAAAAACAGATGGAGATTAGTCTCAGTCTGGTCTAAGACAATGTTGAGTTCTTTGCTTCACAGAGAAATTCCAATATTTTAGTATTTGGCTTTGTCACAAATTGGGATGAAAAGTCAAAATTAAGAAAACCCCACCAAAAAAACCCAAAAAACCAAATAATGAAACAGAAAGCCCTGAACTTGGGGAAGGATTCATAGATTGTAAGGCCGAAAGGGACCTTGGAAGATCATCAAGTCCAGCCCCCGGCACCAGGCAGGAAAGACAACTGGGGGTCAGGTGACCCCAGCAAGGTGACCGTCCAGCCTCCTCTTGAAGATCTGTAGGGTAGGCGATTGCACCACCTCTGCAGGGAGCTTATTCCACAGTCTGGACATCTTAACTGTGAAGAAGGTTTCCTAATGTTGAACCTGAAGTAGTATTGTAGGAGTTTGTGGCCATGACTCCTGGTTTTCCCTAAGGCTGCCCTGGTGAACAGTTGCTCACCGAGCCCTTGATGTACTCCCCTAGTGTAGTGGTAAGCTGCTGCCAGGTCCCCGCTCAGCCTTCTTTTCCTCAGGCTGAAGCAAAGAAGTTGATGTTTGCTGACTGAAACACGACATTTTAATAAGAAATGTCAACATACAATGAAACCACTTAAATTTTTCATTTCAAACTGACATTTGAGCTTAAAAATCAAAATGGTAATCCAAAAGGAAGTGCTCTGAATTGAGTTCCTGAAAATGAAAATTCTGGGGTTCAAAACATCACATCAGAGAAATGGATTTAAATTTAATTAAAGCCAATGTTTTTCCCTGCAAAAAAGTTGGATTTCTGCTAAACCATTTTCCAGTGAAAAGCAGTTTCATTAGAAACTGTTCCACCTGTTCTGAGTATAAGCCTGATCCTTTTAGTGCATGTATCTGTGTGGGCTCATACACATGATCAAATACAAGTATGTGCAGCCACATAATGGTACTATGTCTTCAGGATTCAAGTCCATGCTCTCCAGAGTTGAAAAAGCCAGCAGCCTCCATCTATTATCTCCAAAGCCTACACGAAACATCAGTCAAGCCTGGCTCCAGTAATAATTACCTGAGTCCTGGGCAGCACTTCAGGATCAGCTGGAATTCTGCCCAGTATTTCACACAGGACTATGCCAAACGAGAACACGTCCACCTGCAGAAGGGATCAGAGAGAGAGAGAGAGAGGCAGGATTTTTTGTGTACAGAGGAAAGGGGTAAAAAGAAGGAGAAGAAACTGAGGGCCCCTCCCCTAACTTCACCTGAAGGTAGATAAAGGGAGTGTCGGAGGTAGAGCTGGCCACAGGGGCTGGCAGGTAAATGTATAAGGAGCTGGTCCCCAGCCTTTTGTTCTGTGCCTGTACTTATATCAGTCTGCTTCCTCCCTTTCAGTATGTAGCACAGGAAAGTGCCAGGGCTTCCATTTGCAATTCAGACATGAAAAATGTAGGTAGTGACCATGCTCAAAAGAATCTTATCTTTAGGGCTAGGGGTATTAATCCCAGAGTCCAAATTCAGACATGGGAAACTGCACGTATTTCCTGTCCCAAAACTATTTCATAGATTTCATAGATTGTAGAGTCAGAAGGGACCCAATGGATCATCGTGTCCAACCCCCAGCCCCTGGCAGGAAAGACGATCGAGGTCAGATGACCCCAGCCAGGTGACTGTCAAGCGTCCTCTTGAAGACCTCCAAGTTAGGTGACAGCACCACCTCTCTTGGAAGCCCATTCCAGATTCTGGTCACCCTTATTGTAAAAAAATGTCTTCCTAATGTCTAACCTAAATCTACTCTCCACTAGTTTGCACCCATTATTCCTAGTTACTCCCTGGGGCGCTCTGGTAAACAGTGCATCCCCAATTCCCTGCTGTCCTCCCCTGATAAATGTATAGGTGGCTACAAGGTCACCCCTCAGTCATCTTTTGTATAGGCTGAAGAGATTCAAATCTCTCAACCTCTCCTCATAGGGTCTTTAATGGAGACCACTAATCATGCGGGTGGCCCTCCTCTGAACCCTTTCCAGATCCTCCGTGTCCCTCTTGAAGTGCGGCGCCCAAAACTGGACACAGTACTCCAACTGCGGCCTGACCAATGCCGCATAGAGGGGAAGCATCACCTTCCTCGATATGTTGGTCATGCATCTGCTAATACACGACAAGGGGCGATTGGCTTTGTTGATGGCCTCGTTACACTGCCGGCTCACGTTCGTCTTGGAGTCAACTATGACTCCAAGATCTCTCTCAGCCTCTGAGCTGCTGAGGAGGACATCCCCCAACCTGTAGGTGTGCTGGGGATTCCTCCTTCCTAGGTGGAGTACCTTACATTTATCTTTGTTGAATTGCATCCTATTACATTCTGCCCATTGATCTAACCTGTCCAGGTCAGCCTGTATCTGCTCCCTGCCCTCTGGTGTATTAACTTTGCCCCATAATTTGGTGTCATCCGCAAACTTGGAGAGGGTGCTCACAACACCCTCGTCTAAATCGCTGATGAAGATATTAAATAACACTGGCCCAAGGACTGAACCCTGCGGGACATTAAACATTATTGTTTAATGTCGCTGTCACCTTTATAGTGGCAGCTGTATTCTCACCACACTGGCTACATTTCAGTGGAGAGTGAAGTCATGCCAATGACCCACCTACAGGAAGAAAAGCTAACCTTAGTACTTGTGTTAGAGACCAGGCAGGAATCAGTACCATACCTTCCTGTCATAGGGCTCCCCTCGCAGCATTTCAGGTGCCATCCAGAAGGCAGAGCCCACAAGAGACAGCTTCCTCTCTGGGTCCTTCACAGGTAGCTCCACCACTTCCCGGGCCAGGCCAAAATCAGTCACCAAGGCTTCCCGGCCCCGCTGTGTCACTCGAATGAGGCAGTTCTGAAATAAGCCCTTCAGTGTGAGATTCCCACGCAGAGAAAAAGCTGAGCTAACTTTCCACCATTCCCCAAAGAATGCTCTTCCACAGGTCCATACCAGTTTCAACCCACAGTGACCCGTCTCTAAACCTTCACAAGTAAATCTCAGTCTTGTGCTAAGTATGCTCCATGTTCTTCCATAGCAGAGATGGGCTACACACTAGCAAGTGCCAATAGGAACCAATGAGCTTGGGAGGTTCAGCAAAACATATCCAGGTGGCCAGTTTGCCTGGTTTTGGTTGTCCTAAACTGCAAAGCACTCCCTTCACAGAGTCCTATAGAATTTAACAAAAAGTCAGAACATTTCTATAGGATTGTTTGGACCATATCACAGAAGCATAGAAAAATATATTCCAACTATAGAATACAATCTCTGGAAAGGAAACAATTTTCTATTAAAGCCTATGCCCACAGACCTTCTAGAATAATAAAGTTTTCTTCAATTTCTAGAAAAGTCCTGTCAAATTCTGTAGGATTTCCCTCTATGCAGTTAGGCTGAATGAGGCAGGTTTAAAAAGAGCAAACAAGGAAAATCTGTTTAAGATGACTGGATTGCACAGACTTCAAGCCTATTTCTCCTCCCCTCCTTCCACATTCTGGGCTGTCATTGCTGGGAACAGTCACTGGAGATGGGAGGGAAGAATCTGTATCTGGGCCAAACTGCAGAGAGAGGGACTTCATGTGCAGTGAAATTCAGTAATATGCACTCACTGTTTGGTGGCACATCCAGGGTAGTTCTGAGTTTACAAGGTGCCAACAGGACATCAGGATCAATTCATGGGCAACTACTGATGTCCTATAACAGCCAGTGAAATGGAGGGAAAGCCATAGTCCTATTAAATCACTTTTTTCTCCAACCGTGTTTGCATTTTGATGCTTGTGACTGAATTGAGCAAGCAGCTGTGGGGATAATGAAGCTGTGTCAGCTTTCTGTACTTAAGTTTCTTAGGGCTGTGATGCTTGGCTGACTTCATCACGTCCCTACTCCATCAATACTTCACGTTTCCACAGAGAAGGCTATGGAACATCAATGAAGGAGTCACGACACAGCAACATGTGTGTACCTGGCACCTACTGCAAAGGTTCACAGGGGTTGTTTCAGTACAGGGTGAAGGATTAAATGACTCTTAACAGATACAAGGTAGTAGCCAGATCCTCAACTAATGTAAACTGATGCATCTCCTTGGTATAAATCTACAAAGTGAATGTGCACAGCGCCACTGACATTAAGATCATCAACTTTAGGCCAAGATAGCTCAAGGATTATTATCTGTCCACAATGGTCTTGCTTCCACTGATATCAAGGGGAGGTTTGATGTGGCACCAAGGTCAATGCCTGGAATTCTACAAAACTTTCCTAGTCTGTCCCATTTTAAGGTGCCCTGAGGCTGACAGGTACAGCAGATTCATTCAAAACCAGAGACAGTTCTTTAAGTACAGCTGCTTAGGTGATAGAGACTGTCATGACAACCCTGGAGAATAAAATGATCTACTGGCTCTCCAAATAGGAGAAGCACAAGAGGAACCTAGAGACTCCCCTCCCTCCTGCCAAGGTGCCTCAAAATAATGCTTAAAGTTCATGCTTCTCAAGTTCTACAGCTGAGGAACTCAAAGCACTCTACAGATATTAGGTTGAAGGAGCATCAGGATCTTCCTGCCCCAGGACAGCACCAAGGATCATAATCCCCATTCTGTAGATGAGGAAGAAAGGAGCATGGAGAAAGAAGTGACTTGTGTGAAATCACACAACAGGTGAGAGACCTAAAAAGAAGCCAGTGCTCCTGGCTCCCATTATTATCCTTAGCCATAAGACTAAACAAGAACCGCTGTGACCTGCAGGAGCAACTCTAGGAGAAAACAGGACATTCAACATGTAGATCCATCCATATCTACTGAGCCTGTCAGCAATGGTTCCACTTAGGGCCAAATTCATGCCAGGAATAGCCTTACTAACTTCAGTGGATTTATACCAGGGCTGGGTTTTGAACTAAGTACTTGATCTGACAGGTCTGCCAGGGTTAGAGCTTCATATCACCACGAAAAGCCTTGCAGTGTTTCATAACCCCTAGTGTTTCATAACCACCACTGCAGATTGAACCGTTTTAAAACAGAAGTGTGGGTTATAAGTAGGAAAAGGACTGTCCAGAAGTGCTCCCATTATGTCAGATAAGCAGCATCTGCAAGGAAGGAAAGAAAAACTTTCCAGGCCTTGGTACTATAAGACCAGTGCAGCTGCAAGAGAAACAAGGAAGATTCTCTTCTGCTTTGGGCCAAAATCCTCAGCCTGCTTCCAAAACCAGAGTCACTGGGTGCCTATACACATGTAGCATGGCTGCTATGATGCACTGTAATTACAACGCGTCGAAGCAGACTCGATTAATTGAGTCTGCTGGAGCATGGTAATTACAGCAGTCCAGCAGATTCCAGTGTCACATGTATCAGCATCCCTGCACTGAAAAATGGCAGTGGGGAAACTTTAGCTACAGCTTGTTCAAAAAGCTTTAGTTAAAGCGCCCCCCGCCACCATTTTTCAACTCAGGGATGCTGATATGCGTGATGCTCAGGGCACTTTAATTAAAGTGGCTCCAAGAGCATGTCTATAAACGTCCTTTGTTATTAGTGCAATAAACAATGTAATGTAACATCTATGTGAAGTGGGAAACTAGACCTGGGAACCAATGGATCTAAAAAAGAACAAAACTAGAAGGCCTGTCCCTACTCCCACAGCTACTGCTGGCTCATTGACAGCTCTGTGGTCCACCCTCTAGAGTGGGACAAAGAGTCCCAACGGACAAGCCACAATAAATACATAAAATGCAAAAAGTGCTCACAAAGCAAACATGATGGCCCAATCCATCTCCCTCCCCATCTTATTATCAACTCCTTGCTTTGGTTTTTTGTTGCTGTGCTGGTGGTTAGAGGAATAAATCTGGTTTTGATTTGTAACTTGCACAAAGTTCCTCTTGCAATGACGGAAGAAAAAGGAATGTGGAATCCTGGCACACACATTTTTACTGAGTGGCTTTTCTTAGTGCAACCACATTTTGAGAAATATATTTTTAGCTCCCTCTGTGTCTCCTGCCTGGTAAGAACATGATGCACCATAATTATAGGGTACAGCAAGAAAGCTTCCATAAGTGCTCCAGGATGTCTCTAGAGAGAATTCAGCCATTTGCAGAGGCCTAGGCATCACTTTACCACAAAGGAACCTGGAGAGACTACAGTGGAGTCCAGGCCTAGTCCTCAGCACAAGGGTGGCAGAAGTCACCCTCTGCATGCAGTCTACCTTGGAGTTGAGATCCCGGTGGTAGATGTTCTTAGAGTGCAGGTAGATCATCCCTCTTGTGATGTCTGAAGCCAAGTCTACCTTCTCCTTCCAGGTGAGAGTGATTTCCTTGCTGGCCAGGAGTTCTTCCAGACACCCGCCATTAACATACTGCCAACAGAGACAAAAAAAGGGAGGCTCCAAGGGCTGCCTGTGAAGGCTCATGGACATTTTTGATGCAGGTCAAGCATTTCCCAAACAGGGATGTGCTGAATCTGTAGGCCCTCTCTCAAGATAAGTGTTTGTACTGCAACAGCTCTAAGCAAGACCAGGGCACCACTGTGCTGTGTACACCAAGCAAACACCTCCATGAAAAAAGGGAATAACCAAGGCCAACTGTAGTACATGGGTTATTGAAGTTTAGGCAAATCATCACTGTGCAGTGCCAGGTTAACAACAGCATATCTGGAAGTACTAGGTACAGTATCAAATTAACCCCTCGAATGCCAGCATCTCACACCCAGTGAAGGATCTTTTAGCTTGCTATGCCACAGTGAACTTCAGGGAAATGTGTGGGGACACACATTGGCAGAAGCTTTCTTGCCATTTGTCTTACTTAAAACTAAGTGGATGAATATCAGTGTGGGGTTAGGAGCCCCAGTGAATGTGCTGCTGCTGCTCAGCGTTTCTTCTCCCAGCGTTGCTAATGGGACTGGTTCAAGAGCTATAGCATTGCTAGGGCTTCTCTTCCACAGGCTCTCAGTGCTGTCCGAGAATTACTGCTGTTGAATACTGCATATAGGGTTCCCTTTTCAGAATCTGTTTTATACACAGCTTTCCCACAGATCTCAAATATGCCTTGGCAAGGCATTCATATCATTATCCCCATGTTACAGATTGAGGAAATGAGGCATGGAAAAGTGAAGCGACTCAAAGAAGGTCACCTGCCAAGTCAGTGGCAGAGCCCGGAAAAAAAACCTCATTGCTCCCAAGTCCCAGTCCAGTGCTCTGTACATTATACAACATTGCCATGACCCTTGAAATGCCCCCAACTGTATGCTTTATGATTATATTAACACGGTTGCCAGTCCCTTCTCTCTGTAACTCCTACCTAAGTCTTTCTGCCTTGCTGACTGACTCCTCAGCCCATGCAATACTCCCTGCCTTCAATCCATTCCAGTTACCTTTTTCAGTATGTCCTTTTCTGGCTCTTTGTCTGTGTGGTTCTAGCCTAAGACCCTGCTTTATTTGAAAGACCTTATTTGGATCCTAGCCTGATCCTGCACCCTTGATTCAAACAAGACATCCATTAAAACAAATGCAAACCTAGCTGATAGCGATTGCATAGGATGAGGCCCTATAATTGTGTGAGAGAGGACAAATTGTTTGCATTTTATAATAAAATGCCACTTTATGCTTTTGCTGCAGAGAAAGCTTTTTATTCAATCCGTAAGCAACACCACTCATCTATGGGGACAGAGCAAAGGGTTTCAAGATCTAAGAGCATGAGCTTCTCTTATTGGAATTAAAGACTAGCTCTAAGTAGCAGGCCCAAGTGTTTCAGCCACTAGAAAGGGACAAAGAGCCATAATGTCTCAGTACATCACATGCCTTATTCAGCCACTTCCCTTTTGGTTAACATCACTGTAAAAGTTCATGCCCCTGACTGCCCTCTGAACACAGAAGCAAGCAACCTTTACCTCCAAAATTGGGTACAGCTTGTCGTCCTTCACACATATCCCAAGATACCTAAGAGGCAAGACAAAAAACATGTGTTAGGTTTCTTCCCGTAGCACAAAACTTCAATAGAGATAGAGACAGAGAGTCAAACTGTGTGGCTCAGCTCTGCTGACTTTGAGCTCAGTGCCCTCCTTCTTAGTCGCTGCCCCCACTGGGAAGTCACCCACCTGACAATGTTTGGGTGTGAAAGCTTCTGCAGCAGGCTGATCTCACGCACGATCACCTCCTGGTCCACATCATTCTTGTAGATTTTCACCACCATCACTTTGCAGGTGGCATTCTGAGTCACCTAGAGCAAGGGAGGAAGAGGCAAGGTCTAAACAAGGCATGTCAGCAGGGACCTCTAGGGCCCTAGTGGTAAAGACAGGGATTGACTGCAACAAACCTAAAGGCTTTATTGAGGTTGATGGATGCAGACAGAGCCTGTGATTCTCTCTTGCTCTTCAGTACCAAGACTGAACTGTCTTGTGTTCCCACCAGCATCTACTTAAATCCTGGCCTGGATTGCAGGCCATACTACAGGGCATTGTCGCCTTCTTTATTTATTTTTAATCAAGATGATTTTTAGAGGGAGGAAGTCACCTGGTACAGCCTAGCTCTGTCTCTTGACCTCATTGCTAGTGCTATCAGAGCAAACCGTGGTCTGGTGTTTAACTCTGTGTCCTTTTTGTCATTTGCTTAAAAGGACAAGAGAGTTTCAACCTGGTATGAACTGGCACAATGATAAGGTTTAATGCTCCAGAACATCATGACTTGAGTTACTTGACAGATAAGGTTACCACAAGCAAATGAAGAGAACAGAGACTCGCATAACACCAGCTGGAACTGAACTGGTTTTATAAACACTATAAATGTTAATTATAAATACGGTTTTTGGTTGTAGCCATGTTGGTCTAAGGACATAGGCAGGGAAGGTTCTTTGAGTAGATGTGATCTCTTTTATTAGATTAACTGAGTAGTTGGAAGAAAGTTCTTAGCAAGCTTTCGGGCGCAATCACCCTTCTTCAGGCATAGGGAGTCTCTTCAGGCATAGGAGTCTCCCTATGCCTGAAGAAGGGTGATTGCGCCCAAAAGCTTGCTAAGAACATTTTTCCAACTGCTCAGTTGGTCTAATAAAAGATATCACATCTAATCAAAGAACCTTGCCTGCCTATGCAGTTATAAATAGAGCCACAAGAGAAATTAGCCTTGGGGGCATTGTTAACCTCTGCTTCCCCTGTAGGAGAACACAACCTGATCCTCTATCCAGGGCCTGTCACAGCAACAATCTTATCTCTGCACTTCAGAGCAAATGCCACCATGAGTTTCCTGGTGTCTACAGCTGGAGGTTCTGAAAAACTTTACAATGAGCTTCCACAGGGCTCTGGGGTGTATTTGCTCAACTGATCTCTGCCAGAAGTCTTAGCCTTAAGGCAACCAATCTGGAGAAGCCGAAATCCAGGTCAGTCCACAGATCCAAGGCCCCGTATAGAGCTCTCAAACCAGAAACAGTATCACGCAGTCACTTTACAAGACAGTACAGCACTATAGGCTTCACTACACTGCCTTCAGCAAAGCTAATTAGGCCCAGGCACAGAGCAAGGTACACATGGCTCTACTACTTGTAGTTCAAAAAGCAGTACAACTGCATTCATGCAGCAGCATGCCCAGTTAATTAGCTCTGTCTTTTAGTAGATGTAGCCAGATGCTGCCTGACACCATGCGGTCACTTAAGGTGAGGGAGGGGGAGAGAAGTCAACCAATTTTGGCAAATTTGAGACAAAACTTGCATTTCAGGACTCCCAGAGCACTCCATGACACAGCCTGAAAATTAGGACTGGAGCTTCCAAACTCAGCGAGAATCCATACAGAACTGATCAACGATCTGGGCTTTAGTGCTGTTCACAAACTCTGCAATGATTTCTGCAATGGGTTCCACAAATGCGGATGTGAAATACATTCTGCCTTTCTGAATCAGTGAAGCACAAAATGCCAGAGAACAGTTGATGAAAACAGAAGAAATACTCAAGCCAAAGTAAAAAAAATTGCTTAAGCAAGAACTCCAGAGCTGTAAATAAGTATCAGTAGCTGCAGAGGGGAGATAAAAAAAAATCATATTTTCTTAAATTATAAAAAAAGAGATCAGATCTATAGCCACAGTTTTGCAGCACTCTGGGGTTAAAAATTGGGTCCATAAGTAATATACACTTGGTACCTCAAAAAGACTGAAAAAAATATGTAGTCCAGTATGGTCAGCTTGTCCAGGAGGCTTTGTGTGACCTGAGAGAGGACACAGAACAAGAAAGCTGAGAAACGTAGCTGACAGAAGCACATGGACATCTTATGCAAATTCCAACTCAAGTAAAAAAAATCAACAAGGACATCAATTATTTCCCATGCCAGCTCAGCATATTTGGCCAGCACACCTCATCTGGGATGCAAAGCGATCCCAGCCTCCTTCCTCCCAATTGCCCCTGGGCTAGACCACGCTCATTGTGGCCGCCAACCTACTACAGTCCTACAGACCTGTATAATGCCGCTCAGTCAGGTGCAAAATTGCAAAGCAGCCTTTCAAGACTGCTGGCATGGGGTGAGTCACTGGGGATTAAGTTTCACTACAGCGCCCCTGATTATGCAGAAAGGTTGTGCTGTCAGGATTGCGATGTAGTGCTTAATAAGCTGGTGCCATTTGCAATGTTATTCATTTTTAATTCATTTCCTCCTCTCTCTTTCTCCTAAGCTGAGTTGGCTCTGGCACTGTAACGGAGGTCATGAGGCCATTTCACAGCTTGGCCTGCCTTGCTCCAGTCAAATCTGGCTCTTCGTCGGGCTGCTTAACTGCTCAGTGACACAGTTTTCCTGCCCCTTTTATTTTGTTTGCTTCTCCTGTCACACACATGATTAGGGTACAGCAAAAGAGTCATTAGCCTGAGATCAACAGAACTCCCATCAAGACTTCACCCTGGATTTGAGCAGAGATCTCAAGTTCAAGGTTTAACAGATCAAAATATTATTTATACTATGGACCAGATGAGAAGGGAATACAGAGGTGCCCTAGCCAGACTTCTTGGATCCTTCTGAGGTAGGGGAGTCCCCAGGTGGTGCAAAGCCAACCCAGAGAGCTCTAGCCTTCTCCCAACCACCTGTCCCTCAGCAAAGGGGATTCCTTGGGCAGCCGAGGCACACAGCACTCAGCAACCCATTTTCAAAAGAGCAGTCCCTAGGGATTGATTTTAGCCAGACAACTTAGAGCAGCAACTGCCCTAAATTATGCCAGGGATCAGTTCAGCCTTGAATGGGCCCAAGTATCAGAGGAGTAGAGAGGTGTGTTCAGGGCTTTGCATATTCCTGGACTTGAGTTGATGGGTGAGAAGACAGACCTTGCGGTAGGAAACAGCAGGGGTAGAAAACTGAAGTTTAAAATTGCCTTTCAAAAAGCAAAGGCTTGACAAGGATTTGTGAGACTGATTTAATTAGTGTATGTGCTCTTTGAGATCCTGTGGTAACAGGAGCTGAAGGAGTTCAAAGTCTTATCTTCAGTGACACTTAAGACCAAGACTAGCAAGGATCTTCACCCTTCATTGGCATCTTCCATCACCACAGAAATTCAAAGTATTCTATTACCATAGGTATCTGTCAACATATAAGCCTCACACTTGTTCTGAGATGGTATTATGTTTTAATATCCCCACACTAGATATAGGGAAACTGAGAGGGAAAGTATCTAGCCCCAAGATAGCATAGGAAGTTACTAGCAGGACCTGGAATGGAAGTCAGACCTTTTCACACTTGGTCTTTTGCTGAAAGCCAAGTCAATCCTTCCTTTCTAGCAAAGCTGCATGTAAAACTTGCTTGTGGGTATAAACAACAGCAAACAAAAGCTACGAGTGCCAATTCAGTGCCAATGTCAGAAATGCAGCCTTTGTGTACCGTGAGGCTTCATCAATGTGCATAAAGCGCTTTGAAGGAGAGCAGCTACCAGCAAACAACTTCAAAGCATTATCTTCAATAGTGCTTACAAGCAAGACCAGCAGGAA